TGACCATGATAACAAATTCATCTTCAAGCAAATTTGATACGAAGTAAAGATGTGCAAGGGCCTACAATGTACGCGCACAAATGCACCTTTGAATTTATATGTTTTATAGATGTGCATATTGCTTTTAGCATTATAGAATAGTGCATTATGCGGGGTGTAATGTGAACTGTGTATTACACTTATAAATGGACATGAACATGTACGTCACACTGTTTGTTGCCATAGATCGACCAATCAGAATCGAGAACTCAAGTTTGCTTGAAGATAAACCTACAAGTACCGGTACATTACGTCCTGGTACCAAGTTACATTCATACATTGTACATTGCAGCTACAATACATTTAAGACACATCCCGGCCATGAAAACACGAAGAAGTCAGTTTAAAAATGCAATGTACCGGTATACACATATATACTTGTGGCATACATGTACATGTACTTGCATTGGCATGATTGGGAGAAAAAAAGGAAACACATTTTTGAACAGGATTAGGAGTGCTGGTTTTGCTGTTTTCCTCAGCTGAATCCTTTACTAATGGAACAAATTCACCGAGTTCTAACTTTTGCTTGATTATTCAGCATTCTGATGGACTGCATGCATGCAATCATGTCCCATTATCTGAGGTGGGTTTGAGTACGTCCTCTGGTAGTTTGGTTTCAGCCTTAATTTGACTGTACAGCATTAGACATTGCAAAATTTGGGGAATATCCAAGCAGGAAAATGTATGAGCATCTTTGAAACAAGGACGGACGCATATTGGCTCGATTACTGATTACATTGTTATTTCAATTTAGTCAGTTTACTTGTTGTAATAATATTTTGTCTACAGGTTGAGGAACAAAAGCTGGTGTTACTCAAGAAACAAGGATCTTTCTGGCATTGAACTGTATTGAATGTATGATCATGGTTAGATTGACTTAGTGGGGAAGTACTACTTAGTCCAATAGTCTTAGTACTTACTGGTCCAATTTCTACTGGTGGATTCAACTGCAAAATAAATGTCCTTGCTACAGACCTAGTGCTTTATTACCTTGACCAATAGCTGTCTCTGACTACATGCTTGACCGAGAAATTGAGTGTGTAGTGTACATGTATGTACCGGTGTTTTTTAAAATTAAACGTTGAAGTTAAATGTGCTGGGTGGTTCCATATATTCTTTGTATCTTAATAGCTAGTTGATTATTTTGTGCAAACTGTCTGTTGGAGAGGAATTCTAATTTCTTTTATTCGGACTTAATTTTTGTTTTCTGTGCAACCGATCACAGTTTTCAATTTTTATACTTCTTGTATAGTCTTCAAGATGTATTTCTATATTGTTGTATAGTCATTAATAACAAAACTCTAATCCCATGTAAGTCAAATGGTCATCGTTCAGTAAATCAGTGACCATGTATAATTTATTAATGGTTTTGAAGACTGTTCAAGGTTTTGCCATTTTTCCTGCTGGCCAAATATTTCATGAATGCCAAGAATGGGTGTATGTACATACATGTACTACACGTAGCCTACATGTACATGACACTACATGCATACATGTGCATGCATGAACACTGAACAAGAATGAACAATGTGCCATGCATGTGTAAACCTCATTTCACAAACCACAGTTAAGTGGTACCTTATTTTGTAATTAATGAATTGCATTGCACAAACAGCTTCTCTAGTAAGTCATTCTATTTAGCAGTTAGCACCTGCTCCTTTCACCTGCAATCAATTATGGCCCTGTAGGACCTTGGCTTTTAAACAAAGTAGGATATGCATACATGTGATGTACATGTACTGTACATGGACACAAATACATGTACTGGACATGCATATCATGATGTGCATTGGTACCTTTTGTACCGACCATCCTCTCTGAGAGGCCACGAAATGTAAAATCTTTGGATTTGTTCTTTGCCTCTAATTTCTCAATCTTTCTTTTTTTTTTTTAGAATAAAATATTGTAAATGCTAATTTTATAACATGTACACAAGTGCACTGTACCAGGATAGCCCAGGAGGGCACTGTGTACAGAGAGAAGCAGAAGCGTTTTGTTGATATTGTTAATTTCGTTTTTAATAAAAGGTTTCACCCTTTTTGGTTTTGTTGTAAAAGAAACAAGTAACATATTGCAAGCACAGAAAATGGTAATTGTTTACTGTAAACTCATAACTTTTCACCCAAACCTGAAAAACTGTAGTCTTGCATACACAATGTAGTGGCATGCATGTCCTAGGTCATTTTATGCAAAGGAGGCNAATATCAAGTCTGCATGAACATCAATGCTCAGGACAGCATGAACACATGATCAAGGTTTTCCTAGATGACATAATGTACTGGGTACCAGTAACCATGCAGTAACTATGCACAACATGTACAGTGTTGCTATGTACATGTACATGTAAGCCTTACTGTACGTGCTGCTTAGTGCTTGCGGGAGCTTAAAGGATCAAACTTATCCACTTAAAGAGACTAAACTTGACTGAGTGAATTATCAGGTTTCCTGCCTGGGCTGAAAAAGGAAAAGACAGCCATGTCAAGAATCCACCCGTGGGATAAAAATACATGCAGCTGTGGGAACGCAGAGCGAGTGCATTTAGTGTAGACAGGGTGGAGGATTATGGCCCGTGGCAAAGGTTCTTGGGTTGCCCGGCTGATACTGCTCCGATGGCACTTGGGGATGCTCAGGTATTGGGGACAGGGGTCTGGTTCTGATGAATATTCTATTTTAGTTTTGGGGTTTTTTTTGCATTAGGCTAAAATGTGCTATGTACCCTGAATGGCTCCACAAAGCAATTAAGAGTGTGAGATACACAGCATGGATTACAGTGGTAAAACAGGACTTCTGTGGTGTGCATATCTGCCCTGTCTGTACATTTATGTGGGGAACTGTCTCTGACAGAATAGGAAATCCAATTCACAAAAAAGGTAAAATGCAGTACATTCATTCAAGATCTTTCAACCTTCAGAGAATTACAAGTACTTGGTACGTACACCCCCCCTCCCGGAATAGATTTGATCCTAACATTTTGAATGCAAAGCCCATTCTGGGTCTGGGAACATAAAGTTTTATACCTCACTGTGAAAGGCTTTTCTAAAACAGAGCTAATCACAGAAAACTTTCTAAAATCTCTCTAGAAGCAGATTTTACACGGAAGTGTTTCCCCAAGGAAGCGTTTCCCCAAGGAAGCGTCTCCCTAAGGAAGCGTTTCCCCAAGAAAGTATCACTTTTTTGTTTATAAAGTAATAAGGAGATCTAAATCAGCCTCAAAACTGAAAGTTATCTTCAAAAAATAGTAGAAGACTTCTTAGCATGGAAACAAAGGAACACAGGAAAGTGGTGCATTTTAAGGACCTCACTGAAAACTCTAACTGCACAGGCCATGGATACATACCCTTGCCACCCTATCCGGGGCACACCTGTGCCTAATTTCATTTGGGTACCGAGGTGGACAGTGCTCCCCTTCCACACGCCCCTTGACGGACCGCTCTGGTTTCCGCCCCTCCAGGATCAGCATCCCAAAGTCGACAAAGAGGTCATTGGGCTCTGGTCTTGGGTCATCGTCCACTTCCAGGTCGTCAGGAACCTGGCCCATGAGCCCCACCCCTGACGGGGTAACAAGCCCCGCCCCTGCTATCATAGTCTGTGGCTGTTGATGATACTCAACTGAATGCAAGGGAGACAAAAGCAGGTGAAATACAGAAATTAGATTTGGACCAGCTTCTTGGATATAAAAAGTATCATCATTATTTTACTTAAATGGCGCATGATGAAAAAAGATGGAAAATAGTATTGAATGAAACATCACCGTTTTAAGACATTTCATGCACATATGTCAAATAATATAATGGCTAAATCTGTTTTGCAGTCCTTTTCAGAATAGAGCAAGGACAAAGCAAGTGAGGATTTTGATGGCTTCAGTTTACATGTACATGTATATTTTTCAGACTAAACACGAAAGGGCCAATTAGAAGGTGGATATGAATTTATTTATTTTAAATACATGTACAATGTACATGTATATAAAAATTTGTTACATGTATGTACATGTACATGTACATTTACTGACTCTATGCTTTTGTGCTGTAATTTGATAATACTCCAGCACATCTGCTCACTGATTAACATTATGTGTGCAATCAATGTACATACATGGACATCAGGTTGATACAACAGAACCAGCAGACCTGTACATTTACAATGTACATGTACAGTGTACAGTGTACATGGGATACCAATTTATCTGCATTGATATGCAACAAAGGTGTCCTTTGCTTCATTATGGCTGGTTGGTGATACTGTGCACAGTAATGAGTGTACTGTACATTGTAGGCAGTGCACAGTAAGGACATAGCCATGGCCCATCTCTATTTAGCAACAGGCACCTAACACATCAGCTGTGTATATCAAGCATCTGTCATTATGTCAGCTGTCCCATTTCAATAGACTTGACCTAGTCCTTTCAGTATTCCTTTCCAATTGTGCAGTACTACACAGCAGTTAGCAGCTTATCAATAAACACCACAGCCCACATGCATGCACAAAGAATGCCACTCTGGTCTTGGTCCCACCCTTATTCTGTATGTTAACCAGCGAAAAAAATAGCACCTTGTACTAGAGTGCATCGCTGGTAAACAGGAAGGCTTAGTCAACTGCCTCATTCAGCANGTGTTTCCCCAAGGAAGCGTCTCCCCAAAGAAGTGTTTCCCCAAGGAAGCGTCTCCCCAAGGAAGCGTCTCCCCAAGGAAGTGTTTCCCCAAGGAAGCATCTTCCCAAGGAAGCATTTCCCCAAGGAAGCGTCTCCCTAAAGAAGCGTTTCCCCAAGGAAGTATTTCCCCAAGGAAGCGTTTCCCAAGGAAGCGTTTCCCCAAGGAAGCGTTTCCCCAAGGAAGCGTTTCCCCAAGAAAGTATCACTTTTTTGTTTATAAACATCATGGAAACAAAGGAACACAGGAAAGTGGTGCATTTTAAGGACCTCACTGAAAACTCTAACTGCACAGGCCATGGATACATACCCTTGCCACCCTATCCGGGGCACACCTGTGCCTAATTTCATTTGGGTACCGAGGTGGACAGTGCTCCCCTTCCACACGCCCCTTGACGGACCGCTCTGGCTTCCGCCCCTCCAGGATCAGCATCCCAAAGTCGACAAAGAGGTCATTGGGCTCTGGTCTTGGGTCATCGTCCACTTCCAGGTCGTCAGGAACCTGGCCCATGAGCCCCACCCCTGACGGGGTAACAAGCCCCGCCCCTGCTATCATAGTCTGTGGCTGTTGATGATACTCAACTGAATGCAAGGGAGACAAAAGCAGGGGAAATACAGAAATTAGATTTGGACCAGCTTCTTGGATATAAAAAGTATCATCATTATTTTACTTAAATGGCGCATGATGAAAAAAGATGGAAACTAGTATTGAATGAAACATCACGGTTTTAAGACATTTCATGCACATATGTCAAATAATATAATGGCTAAATCTGTTTTGCAGTCCTTTTCAGAATAGAGCAAGGACAAAGCAAGTGAGGATTTTGGTGGCTTCAGTATACATGTACATGTATATTTTTCAGACTAAACACGAAAGGGCCAATTAGAAGGTGGATATGAATTTATTTATTTTAAATACATGTACAATGTACATGTATATAAAAATTTGTTACATGTATGTACATGTACATTTACTGACTCTATGCTTTTGTGCTGTAATTTGATAATACTCCAGCACATCTGCTCACTGATTAACATTATGTGTGCAATCAATGTACATACATGGACATCAGGTTGATACAACAGAACCAGCAGACCTGTACATTTACAATGTACATGTACAGTGTACATGGGATACCAATTTATCTGCATTGATATGCAACAAAGGTGTCCTTTGCTTCATTATGGCTGGTTGGTGATTCAACTGCACTGGTACTGTGCACAGTAATGAGTGTACTGTACATTGTAGGCAGTGCACAGTAAGGACATAGCCATGGCCCATCTCTATTTAGCAACAGGCACCTAACACATCAGCTGTGTATATCAAGCATCTGTCATTATGTCAGCTGTCCCATTTCAATAGACTTGACCTAGTCCTTTCAGTATTCCTTTCCGATTGTGCAGTACTACACAGCAGTTAGCAGCTTGTCAATAAACACCACAGCCCACATGCATGAACAAAGAATGCCACTCTGGTCTTGGTCCCACCCTTATTCTGTATGTTAACCAGCGAAAAAAATAGCACCTTGTACTAGAGTGCATCGCCGGTAAACAGGAAGGCTTAGTCAACTGCCTCATTCAGCGNTTTCCTTTGTCCATGCTCATTTCAGCCTCCATAATTACGGTCGGTGCTTGGAAATAGAATAACAAGGATTTCCTACTGTGGTACATTTAAAACACCATAGCCTAGGCAGAATGATATATCTCCAAGCAATATTGTTTGGTTGGCACTGGCTCCTTGTTTGCATACGCTGACTGATGCAAGTCTATCTTGAAAGCTCCAAATATTTTGGGTGTGTAAATAAACGCCTGCTTCAATGGCCTGCACAGGTACTGTACATGCATAGGTGGTAGGCTTGACTGGACGTATTACAACGACATATCAAATTCAGGTGCATGGAATGCTTGTCAGTTCATCCCTCCAGCTCAGTGAAATGTTTACATTTTAAGGTATTTTTAATCTGATTTAAAAAAAGGAAAACTCTGGGTGGATGCATACACGTACATGTACACGTTTGTTTATCAAGTGAATAGACGTTAAAGGTGGAACTCCCTCTAAACCTGGCATTAGTGCCCCAGGAAGAAAATCCTACATTTGCAAATGTCATGAAAGTGTGACCAACACAGGGCAAGGAATATGATTCACAAACACAGTCAAATACATGCACAGTCAAACCTCGTTAATAAGAGCACTGTTTTAATACATGTACATGATGCTGCTTATTTGATAAGGACATTTTTAGGTCCCAATCATTTGCTTTTCGTATTGTTTTCACTCCTGAAAATACAAGGTTCCTGTTGTAACAAGGTAATTTGCCGAGTCCACAGTACCTCTCATTTAACAAGGTTTGACTGTATTTGGATAAAAACTGAAACCAGATCCTTGTTCAAATGGATACTGTGTATGTACATGTACATGTAATTTGTTACTGTTAGTTCATGCAGGGCCCACTTATGCTGAAGGGGAGCATTTGGTTGCATACATGTACATGTATGGAGTGGCTGTTTCAGTTGCTGCAACCACTGGTTGAAATCTTACTCTTTGGTGATTTGTCATTCCTGCCAGCTGGCTTTTGGTTTGGATTATAGCAAACGCTTAAAATGCTCCCAAGAGGCAAGTAGATGTACCCATATACACCTGTACAGTACACCACAGCATGCACACGATTAAGTATCAGTTTACTGAGCGGCATTATTATTGCATTGGCCTGCAGAATAATTGAACCAACAGCCTGGTTAACAAGGTCAGAATCTGAAGACTCACGGTTGAGAGGGCACACAATCAATATGAAAGCAACCCTCACTTTGCAGGTACACGTAGGAACTCATTTGCATGCAGTGATAATCAGGTACGCAAGATAAATTCCAGTGATAATCAAGCGGTGACAGAGAAGGGTCAATTTAATTTTATGTACCGGTGGGAATGTGTTCAAAACCAGAGTTGGAACATCAACCGTAAAATATGTAGGCCCTTCTTCTCAGAGGTCCTCATACACGCATTCTCTTTGCATTCTTCCATGTGAAAAATACAGAAATTAAGAGGATTCTTTGATCAACATTGGTATGCACTTCTGATGTCCACAATAGATTTAGAGCTTCCATGAACTTAATGCACGTCGATGTACATGAAATATATGCATGTTGTATAAAAAGTGTTCAAACTACTTGTACAGGTATGCACCAGGGCATGAAATGCACTTGACTTACTCACTAGAACTGACCTAGTACACAAACTGCCCAACTTTAATCACTACAATGAGTAAGATCTGCATTTTACTGTAAGCTATACACACATTAGAATTAATCGCATAACAAAAGTACTCGTATATACATGTACATATATGTACACTATGCTTTATTCCATCATGGATTCTACCTCCATGATTCCATCTACGTACATTCGTACATATGTACAAAACCCTTTCACCTTGCATGTACATGTGCCCAGGCAAAGCTTAAGCCTTATAACCCACGTCATAGTTTGTACAGCATGCTTGTCCATGATGAGACATGTCCAAAAAAGCACAGAATGAGTGATTCATGCATTTGCATATGATACAGGAAAGCGTCAAGGAAGTTACTTATTCTGCACTCTCTGATAGAGCCTTTTTTTTTCACTATTGGAGTCACCAACAACTATCCAATTAACTTGTCTCTTTGAATAAGCTCCTGATCACTTTCTAGAGGAAGACACAGTGCTCATTTCTGAAAGACTTATGACATGGCAGGGCCATCATGCCCATCAGGACGTTGTGCCCTCGTACTCATACACAAATGAACTTTTATATGTTCAGAATTTGGGCAAAACTTTGGGATCCCCGCTTGACACTCGTGTGTATGCACTGTACATGTACCCATATAATGTACTTTCGTCCCTGCAGCATGCATGCAAATGTTTACAGACAGTGGTCCGCTACAAAGAAACAACCTGAGCACACAGGGTCCATGCATGAACTGACCTGCCATTACATGTACATGATGTAATCACCCAGTACACAGGTCAAAGTAGCTGGACTTTAATGACCCTGACCTGATCTGCATGCACCTGAGTATCCAATATTTAAATGAACAAGTAGACAGAATATGGCGTGTACTGTACTCAACTAAGAAATCCATTACAACAATTGTACCACAAACATACCCCCGGCAGGAACATGCACTCCTGTACCGTACAAAACCACATTTCCTGCTATTTCAATTTCCATTTCTAGAGAGGCAGCGGGTGATGATGCTGGAAAAGTACACAATGTCAACACACCCAATTTTTAGTTTTTTTTTTTCAATTTTATTTCAAAATACAAAGCACATGTACGTAAACTGTAAGTTTACAATCTGAATCTCCACTCAGTTTTTTCTAAAACAAACATTCATTATTTGAAATCATTATCAAATTTGTATGGTCACTTACATAATAAATATTTTGGGCACAATCAACATTATCTTTTGTAAGTATGATCACTTCCAGCCTCACATTTCTGTATGATGTACAAAAATATGTCACGAGGCTGTAGGCCTACACCAGGAAGTGTGAAAACAAATTTATATAATGGTCAAGGAGTGACCACAAAGTGCATGTCTGGACAGACACTGTGCATACCAACTGCACAATGAATCACTGGGAGTGGTGTCTCCTATTGCAACAACACAAAAAGATAGGCCAGCCACAGGAACAGGACTAAGGGAAGCAGTGAACCGTTTCAGAACAAAACAACTCAGGGCAGTACAGCATCATGCACAACGTCTGAATGCTGGCAGCCAACGGCAAGCTGATCAATACTCCCAAATAACTACAATGATGCCAGCTGAGAATCACATGCTATCCAGTAATCTGGCATGTGACATGTGGCCAGGAATATTGGTTTTTCTTTCCCCTCCATAGTAAATCTATGGGTAATTGTTTATGTCCCACAGCGGAATTATTTACACGTACTTATGTATATGTACATTGTAAATGGTTGCTTTTCCCCTCCTGCCTTCAGTAAATCTGTCTAATAAATGTTTACATATCCCACAAAGGAATTCTTTCACTCATCAATAATAAACTGTACAATTACACGTACTTGTAGCAACGAAACCCTCCAAACGCTATGTCTCCATGTTGTTTTGTCTGCCCAACCATTTAGCCAGTATACTTATTCTTTTTACTTAGTCACCTATAATTCCCTTGTTATTCCTTTGGAATCCTCCCAAAGCTGCATGTCCACCCGTTACATCAAAGGGGCACCAATCAAGCCGGATGGATGTAAAAAGATGCACTCTAAACAATGAAGTAACTGCATTAAGTACTGTAGATGTATACAGTACAAGGGCCTTTCTCAACCTTGCACAATTTTCAAAAACTTCCTGTTGGATCTGAAGAATATGGGAGGGTTAGGGTAAACTAAAAATGTATATGTACACGTAATACCAAACAGCAACTTACTTGTCTGCATTTTTGCCACTTGAAAAAGAGATACTGTAAGGTAAGGTCAGTTGGCTGCTTAGTTTCACTGACTTTGCGAGGATGGCTATATTTTATACTTTACATCTGAGATTTTAAAAGTTTTTGTGAGTTTTCGTTTCCACAAGAGATCCTGATTTTGTAAGCTCACAAAAAATACACATACATGTACTGAATGTGCATTAAAACTTGTTTCAATATTTACTGAACGGTTGAGTTGGGATGAAATGGTGACTTACATGTACCAGTATGCATCTTTTAATCAATTTGCAAAGTTGATAGTAACGTGAAATGTCAACAGCGAATGCAAGTTCACTCCAATAATTGTTGAGGATAGGCCTACTGTGCTAGTGGCTCACAGCCATTTGCTGATGACTCCCATAGCCACATGTACCATTAAAAAATTTCTAGGCAGTCATGATTCTTTTTTGACAGAGCCAGAGGGCTGTTTTGCAGGCAGAAGGAAGTACATGTACACATTGTACATATGTACTATGTGTGAATACGAATGCCAGTCATTGTGTGAAGAGACTACATACATGTACATGTGGGACTATCGCTTGTCAGAAGGCTACTTTGTACACAGAAGACATACATGTACATGTCAAACAATCTGTAAAAATATTCCAACATGTACACTGTACTTGCTGGAAGTGGAAACAAAGTCACGTGAAAGAACACACTGCAGATATACAAAGTTTGCAGTTGTTTGTAAATGACTTCACTGATAGTCTACAATAAGTAATGCATGTTGACTCCACTTGTTTTCAAAAGTTGCTGGACCTGACTATGAGTCTACAATTAATGCGACACATCTACATGTACAGCTCAGAATGACAAAGCAACATATGAATGGGCCAATGCCTCATCATACCAGAGGGTCGTGTGTGTGGGTCAGCAGAAAGGGACAGTTCACGCAGTGGTACTGATCGCCCTTGATGACTGATGAACTTCATTTTTTGCAAGCCCTTCATTTTTTTACAAGCGCTAATATCCAACTGGCTCACTGCAGCCGAGATCTTGTTAGGAAGAAAACTTGAACTTTGAAGCACCCTTCAGTTTTTGTAGGCCTATCTTATGTGCAAAAGCAAAACTGAACAGGACTGCAGTTTTTTTAAGGATGGGTTGTTCAACATGTAGCAGCCAGCATACCATTATACTCACAGTTTAGTCCTTCCTCCATGGTTTAAAAGCACTCATACGTGTATTTCTGGTCCGATTTACATGTACTGCAGTGACTTGGCAATATGATGTCACGTTAAAGAGCATTTCTGTCTTCTTCTTAGATAGGCTCAAGTAAACCTTTTGTGCATTCATTGTCATTAAATCTAAGTAACAATGTCCTCTGGGCCCGCCGGGCACTCCACGCAGGCCCCCTATACTCGATGGAATATGGGTAAATTCTCAAAAAAACGCTTAAGTAACTTCCCAACATGCCCTCGGTTCCATATTAATCAACAAACTGGTGCCAAAATCATGCACTGAAATGAATGATGCAGAAAGTTGTCATGTAAACATGGTAAAGTACAGTACATGTACATGTAGGCCTAGGCGAATTGTGAAATATCAAGCATGTAAAGGCATGAAAGGAAGTAAGTTTGTAAGTCATGTGAGTCAGTAAGTAGAAACTCTAATCACGTTACAATTCAAAAACAATCACAAACAAAAAGAATAGTATCATCCATAACACGTACGAAACCAATCTAAACATGGAAAGGCGAACAATAAAATCGTGATGAATAGGGAAGGATGAAGAGGGAAGCTGGGCTAGATGAATGCGCCAAAACCGCACCTGCCCCGCGCCACACAGCTCGTTCGCTCACCACTGCGCACGTCACAAAACTTACCCACGGCAGATTTCATCGCCTGACATCTGTTCTTCGCCTCAAATTACGATGTTTTTCACTCACACAGAACTACTGTACCTTCTATCCCATATCTACAAGAAAAACAATACTAAATGGGACGTTCTTTAGCGGAATTTCAGTTGCCAATATGTCGTGAATGTTGCGCTCGAGAAATATTTCGTCAGCCACCGCGCACCGAAGCTCTTTACTTGTTGTCAACGAAGATTGCCACAAAATCCTCCGCAGATTTTGTCGATCTGTTTTTGTTGCTGCTGAACGAGATCACGTGACTAACAGCTGATAGGGTCAATCGAGGGCCAAAGTTCAAGGAACTGTAATAAATTATCATACATGGCGGGCGCACTTGTCGATTAGAAGTCGGCTAAACTCCGTTTAGTGCATGTATTTAGAACAGGTCCCGTGGGGTGGGGGGAACTCCCACGTACGGTTGGAAAGGATGGAACATTTCAAGTTTTCCTATCTTAGCTTTCTTTTTACTTTGCCTTATAGATTTTATTTTCTATTACTTTTTTGTGATGATCAGATTTCCGAAACAAACTTTAAAGCCTTCAAAGTATCTCTTCGCCTTCCTTTGAATAACAACAAAAAATTTGTAACAAAGAAAAAAAGAGGGGGTTCTAAGGAGCTTGGAAGTTGGAGGCTACATCACTATGTTCCAAAACGAGACAATTCATTAAGCCAAATTAAAGATGTTGTTAGCAAATATTTATTCAAACGGCATGCAAGGTAATTTACACGTCCAACAACAATTTCATTTATCAAACACACATTTACATACAAGCTTGTTTACATTATTCTTTAAGACAATTACTTTGTATGCTGTCCAAAAATGCTCTCCATACAATGGAATGACAACATAAACAAAATTTAAAATAAAAACTGTGGGAAATTTTTCAACCACCTGCAGTGAACTGAAATCACTTAAAAATTTGCTACAGATCAAGGGATCGATGTTTCATATTAGCAGAATCTTCAAGACGGATGCCACAAGGAGGAAAATATCAGGGCCTGCAACTTTTTGTGTTCAACATGTTAAATGTGATGGATGACTACAGGTGATGCAATGGGCCAAGAAAAAAAAAAACCACTTTTAAACTAGGTCAATTTCCATGTAATTGAGTCTCTTGAAACAAACACCTTACATAAGTGTAACAAAAACAGTTACAAAAAATGCTGTTGCTCTTTGCTCACAGAGGTTTTTTTTGTACTTCTGTCCCTACTTTTTTGGCCAGACATGAGTGCCTGAATGCTCCAACACCTTGGCACAAGTATTTGAAACAAGATGGGGAAACTGCAATTACTGATGCATTTCTGAGCGGGTCATGGAAGATGAGAAAGCCATCAAAATTGTTCCTGTCACAAGCATCGCAAGATATTGGAATTCGCTTTCAGTTCACAAGGTTTGAGAAACAACATGTCAGTTTTAATCACCTGTTTACGACAGAAATTGGTAAAATGAATAAACAGGAAAACTTTTTTTTAAAGTTATCTGTTTTTCAATACAACAGGGCAAGAGCATGAGGTAAGCTTCCATGCTGTCCCTAGTTGAAGACAACGAGGCATTCCAAGTTGGTAACTGAAACTTTTGCTGTTTTATGAAGTTTCAAAGTTTTCTCTGACAGAAAGGAGCTTCCAATGCAAAGCACAAGTTGCACTAACCCATTCTTCTGGTTTGAGCATCTGCATTAAAGGTGACACAGCATTTGCACGGTAGGTTATGACCACAGATATTACAGCACAGCATGGTGGCGCAAGATGGGGAACTCTGCCAAGAAGGTGTCATCACCATGGGCGCCATTTGAGCAAGCGATACGCCTGGGCAGTGGATGTTAACGCACAGGCACAGGTGCGCACATGCATGCCAGGTGTGAGCGCCTGGCACGGGGCTTGCCCTGTGCATTAACGTGCACTGCGCAAGCGTATCGCTTGCTCAAATGGCATCCTGGCGAGAATAACATTTTACGCGTATTCACGGTGAAGTTCTCCATCTTGTGCTGCAACACGACGCAATCCAATCTTCGGTTATGGCAACTTAGCCAAAGTATGCACGTGCTCATACTTAGAGTTTTGGCTCTGTGGTCCTGCTTCATAACTTTGACCCAGTCTGCAAAAAAAAAATCTAATGTCATAAATGCCGAACTCAAAACTGCCGTTTGGTAACAAACTATGCGGCAAGAGGAAACTCCAAATTAGAATCTCTATAAATTTGTTTTATTTTGACAGTTAGAAGGACACTGACGAAAATGTGGTTATTGGTGCTTCCCTCACATTTTACTCTTTTTTATTTATGTTCGTATGCCAACAAGTCAATTTTATTACAAGTGACTAATTTCCTACAGCAGATGACCTGGTGGGACCAGATGGTACATCAGGTTTGCATTAATCCAAGGGGTAGAACTAGAGCCTGACACCATCTGACAAACAGGCTGAATGACTGATGATAAAAGCTTGGAAAGTCGATCAAGAATCCTCAGGCTTCATGAACATTTGGCCAAGTGAAGTTTGTCTTTTCATGGTGGGAGTTGGAAGCATGCACATGGCGCTATTTGAATAACAGGAGGTTCCATGATGATGGAATCCAGCAGGAACAGTTTCTGACATGTCAAGGTTATTTCAATTCCCCCACTCAAGGGCCTTGACAAACTCTTCCTCTGTGAATGACAACATCTTGGCTGCTTCAATATGCATCTGAAACACAACAACAAGAAAAGCAAATTTAATCCTTTGCTCCGAACCTGTGGATTTGTATGACAGCTGCGATAGGGACGATGATGGTGAGTTTAACCACTAGGAGACTGTAATTTCAATTGACATCTGACACACAACAGGAGGAGCAAATTTATTTCTCAACTCTCAAGTTGCTGTTTGACACCAGTGACAGGGACGATGGCAGTGAAGTAACAAGTACAAGATTTCAATGAATACACAGTAGCTTGGCAGTGGTCTTCCATTCCTTCTTTCATTACCATTCGTCTCTTTGTTACGAAGCAAGGCTAGCTTTATCAACTCTGGCAATGAGTATCTTGAGTCAGCTTGAAGGGGCAAGTGAGGGATCCCATGAAATCAGTCCCAGAGCCATGTTTTAGTCGTTTTAGTTTACATTAAGAAAAGAAAACTGAGATCTATTTTTTTCTTACGTATCGGTCAGTTAGGCATCCTTATGAAGATAGACATTATGTGGGAGGGAAACGTTGAGGGTTCCTATTGACTTACATTGTGTAGGATTAGTTTAAAGGCCAGATTAAAATCAGAGTGGACCGAGGCAGCTTGCAACTTCATTTGTTAGATTGGGTAACAAATTCATAATCAGGACGTGAACTGTCACATGGCCAGTAAGATGTTTTGCTTTGGCCAAAGCACCAACTCCGTACCTTCTGCCTTTTGAGGACATCGATGAGCTTGAGCTGTTTCTTGAAGCCGTTCATCAGCTCGTTCTTCTGCTTATCCAGTCGTCTGTTCTCGGCAAGTAACTGCTCAACTCTCTTCCTCTCTTGCTCGGAGGACTCCTGGGGGATAAACATTGAATGGGGGGGGAATAACTTTTCATTTAATGCTGTAGAAAAACAATACAATAGAGGGTTCTAGGGATTTAAGTATTATTCGGTTACTTGATTAATCATGCAAGTATTATTCGGTTACTTGATTAATCATGCAAGTATTATTCGGTTACTTGATTAATCATGCAAGTATTATTCGGTTACTTGATTAATCATGCAAGTATTATTCGGTTACTTGATTAATCATGCAAGTATTATTCGGTTACTTGATTAATCATGCAAGTATTATTCGGTTACTTGATTAATCAATCTATGTATCATTCACTTGGTAGCATTCTTCTCTTTCTATAGAAAAAACTAGCTCAAGAAAATGGAAGTTTCCTTTCAGAGGCTGGTAGAGAACATCTAAAAAGAAATAATAAATAAAAGCACTAAAAAACTTCAAAAAAGGTTGTACTTGTGTGTGGCATCATACTTCAGTGAGAAACATTCCTCATGGAGATTGGCTGTTTGATTAATCAAACCTGTAATCCAAAGGGAACGACTAATCAAATGAAAAATAATCACAAACATGTAGGCCTGGAGTTTCCTTGATAGAGATGGTCATATGGCCAGGTTCCATTCCATTCGGAGTACTTCATTGGTTGCACCTTGTGACAAATCTCATTTGTGAGAAGGCCAAGTTCTGAAAGGAATGGGAGGGGGGGTACATTTGGGGTAGAATGCTCTGCCCTTCGCCAGGAGATTGCAGTGTTGCTCAACTCATCTTGCAGACTTCAATTAGCAAACCCACAAATCTTATCTATTCCATACAATAAAATTAGTCTGGCCGAAATATTGTTTCACTGAATGTTTAACCTGCGTGTCTTCACACCGGACAAACACCCTCAAGAGAAGGTGAATGAAAAAAACTGTTGCTTATTACAGGTCTGTCCAATGCAGTAACATTGTGCATTTTCATTAGTGGGGATGGATCATGCATGGTGAAACGCACTCACCCTTGAAGAGGTCCTGGCTCTCTGCAGCTCCGCCTTGTACCTGTCCGCTTCCTCTTGGGCTCGGTTCAGCCGTACTTCCACCGCACCCTGGCTGGCGGCTGACTGCTTCTGGTTACGCTTAAGGGAATCCACTTCCTGTTGAATGGATGAATAACTCCGGAGTAAACTTCACAATATCACAATCAACTCAAAAGTAGGACCAATGAAAAGGCCATGACATAACTTTTACTTAGAAACATATTTTATGCCACTTTGTACTCCTCTTAAATGTAACAAAATTATCCCAAATCTCTGAGTTTTTTCTCTTTTATTACTATGTAAATGTGAACCATTTAGCAGAGTTGGAGTTGAGACTATTTTAGACCAGCACAAGACAATCACAAGGCCAATACAAGACCAGCACAAGACCATCACAAGGCCGACACAAGACCAGCACAAGACCATCACAAGGCCGATACAAGACCAGCACAAGACCGTCACAAGGCCAATACAAGACCAGCACAAGACCATCACCAGGCCAATACAAGACCATCACAAGACCGTCACAAGGCCAATACAAGACCAGCACAAGACCATCACAAGGCCAATACAAGACTTCCGCTCTGAGTTCAAGTCACTAGGTATTCAAATAATCTGCCACCCTGTTAACTGTGACTTCACTTGTGAATAGTCTGGTGTCTGGTTTTGTGATGGTCTCAACTATAGAGTACTGAAGTGAACACGTCATGTGCACAATTATGTATGTGAAAGGCATTAGCACGAGAACCAGCAGGCGAGCGTACTCTATTCGTTTGCACTACACTTTCTGGTTCAACATGACGTCATACATCGATACTCTATAGCATGGCCATCTTGGTATACAACATAATGACCATAAGTTCATAACAATTTTCCGATGCTGTCTTACTTTCCTGAGGCTGGCTAGCTGCCCTTCCAGCCCCTCGTTCTTTCTCTTGGTCTCCTCTGACAGCTTCTTGTACTTGTCGAGCTGTGTCTGCTGGGTGGTGTTGGTGCGCTGGAGGCGGGCTCGTTCATCCTCTGCCTCCTTGAGTCGGCTCTCCAGCTTGGAGTTCTGCTCATCCTGAAGACACGAGTGGTACATGTAGGTGTGAACTGAGTAAGTGACGTACACTGGTGGGTATTGTGAGAGTTGGGAAACCCTACTGAAGTACACACAGTACCTGGGAAAGATACTCCTAAACGAAACCTACACACACCTCCACATTCAAAGTGAAACTAATAAAAACTGGAAGAAATAAATAACGTTGCAATTCCGTCTCACCCCTTTTTCCCAAATGAGCACAGACCTGTGTGTGCCACCCAATTTCTTGCTCGGTTCAGCATTCATTGACTTTCTACATGAGATAACTACAGTATCTCATTTTGAATGCTTGAAAATTAAACTACTTTATGAATGAATCACAAATTGCCACCAAATAGAGGGACTGCACTTCACGTTTTTTTCAATGGTTCCTTGCCACGATAAAGGAAGTTTTACCGAGTACCAACTCCAAGGGGTTTATATGGCTTATTTTCACACGGTGAGAGGACTGCTAAGAATCTTGAAAAGACAGGTGTTGTGATTTTACAGGGTGTTAATGATCAAATTTCTAGATGGTCAAAATCTGGAAGCAATATATCCAGGGTTGATGAAGAACAAACTCTATCTTCTTTCATTACCTTTTTGTTGCACTCACTGGACAGTCTGTCCACTTCTTCTTGCATGACTCTCAGTTTGGCCTTCAGGAAACGAATGGTGGCCTCTGGATAAGACAGGGAACAAGACGTGACTTTAGACAGGAGTAGTGTAGTGTAGACTGTTGGTATTCAGAGCATGGATACCATTGAGGGTGCTTGATATTGTTTAGAAATGGTTTATGGTTTGTGCTTTATTGACAAAAGATGTCATCACAGTAAAAAACTGAATTGCGACATCTTTACAATTCATACATAATAAATTACATCAGTTTAACCATTTACAGTCTAAAAATCTACAAAATTTAAGTCAAATTAAATCAAACACCTACATAAAACACGCAAGATTAATTAGCCATTTCAAACAATGAACAAGACAAGACTGGTTAAATAAAGACAAACAAAATAAATTACCCGCTTAAAAACGATAAACAAGACAAGGCTCGTTATATAAAGTGCACAAAAATTAATTAATCACTCAAAACCATTAACAAGGCAAGATTCATTATATAAAACACAGAAATTAATCAATCGCTTAAACCCACAAATACAGCAATAACACATATGAAGGGCAGGATTGAAAAGTTCATGTTGTGCTGTCATTTGGGGAAATTAAGTCTTCATTAAGTTTGTAAGATATGGGAGTGGGTTTTTCCTAAACCTAGTTGTTCTACACTTATATGATCCGTATTTCAGTTCCTTGCGTAGTTCCATCCCAAATGTACTCTCAGTTGCGGGAATACCTGGTTAACGCGAATGAGCATTTTAAGGTGCACATTTTTCTAAGCAGAAAAGACTTTTTTCCCAAATACTCTATGCATGTATTTCTTTTTTCAATCTAATCAGATTTTTTCCTATCATCAACAGCCTGATTATTATTTCAGTATTTCAAGGGACTAGAATAAGGACTGCTGTATGGCTCTGTTGGCAAACTCCGTCAGACAAAATCTATCATTGTTCATTAAACTTCATATGAGCTCTGCCTACCTGACCCCATTCCTTCGGCAGCCTGCGGCAGGACATCGTCCAACGTGTCTGCAGGTAGTGTCCCATCATCAAGCCTGCCCTCTATGGCTTGAATGGTGTCGGCTAATGAGAAGTCATTGGCCACACCCACTGTCGGCCCTGCCCCTTCGAGTCCCATCCCGGCATCAAGGACGGCAACATCGTCAAAAGCACCAGCTGAAGTGGTTCTGGCCTTTGACCTGTGGTAAAATGTTGAAATACAACACAACAGAATCAATCACTGCTAATACAATTTGCTGTGACAAAGGGCGTACCATAAGGGAGTGCATCAGTACGCTGCGCAGCTTTTGTTTAGTTTGGGCAAACTGGTCAATTACCACAAACTCTGTCCTTCTCTGCTTTGTATAGAACAAGGGAGAGTGTGTTTTTTTCCTTTAAGAATGATGTCTCTTTGGTGGAAAAACAATGCCTGTGCCAGTGTTGTATTTGAGTCCATCACAA